TGAGCTGGAAAGGGAGGGGCACGCCTCCCCCTGGTGGGGGACAGGGGCACTGCAGCCACCGCCCCAGTCACAGAGGCAAGCAGTCAGGGCTCTGTGCAGGGGCTTTTATTGCATCAAAGGGCGCTGGGATGTGACCATTGAAGCTTAGTTGTGCTTGATGGTCTTCAAAATCCAGGGTATAAATGGAGCTACACGGGTGGCGACAAAAGGCTTCGAGGTATGGCCGTTCTGATTGCTAAGAGAAGAGATGCCCACCAAGGTCCAGACTCTATACTTCCTGCAGACCAGTGGGCTGCCTGAATCACCCTGAGGGAGGAAAACACGGCGTGTAAACAGACCGCGGTGTAGCATCCTGAATGCGAACCTCACCCACGTGGGACAGAGGGACTTGGTGCTACAAGCAGTAATTCCTCTCAGGGCGCCTTGCTCAGCCTCCTTCTGGGGGTGTCGGCAAGGAAATACCTCGCTCAGGATGGGTGTGAGGGTGACAGCCCCTCACAGGAGGAAAAGGTCCCCTACAGGGCAGCGAGTCTTCCCTTCCCTGGGAACGAGTTGAGGAAGAGGCCAGTGAATCTGGGCTGGGAAGAGTCCCCCACCCACTGGGGAGTCAGAGCGGGGCTGGGCCTGGCAGCACTCACGGAGCCGAGGCTGACGCCGTTGGCCTCAGCACAGATCAGGGTCTTGTGTAACAAATTGCCCAAGAACCTCTCGCAGTTGCGTGTGGACAGAAGAGACACAGCGGCTTCATGTTGAATCTCGGGGTACTGGAATCCTAGGACGTAGAAGGGCCAAAGCAGTCATGTCCCTCCCAGGCATAACCCAACCTGTGTCAGCACCAGACCCTGCCCCGCCCAGTGCTGCAGAAGCCCGTGCACCTCTTCCTTGCAGCAGCATCGGGGACAGGACAGGACACCCTCATACCACAGATGCCTCAAACCAGGTGATTCCACGAGCTGCCCATGGGCCTGCCTGCGGTCGTCCCACACAGGTAACAGCACAGCCCTGCCTCCCCAGCCTGGGTCCCGTCAGTCCTGAGTTGGGGACCCTGAAGCAGCGTCTCTCCCCTGGGGAGGGGAATTTCCTGCTTCTCATTAGAGACTGCACTCGGGTGACTGGCGCTGCCCCATTCACCATTTTGGGGGTTGCTGCCCATGGGAATCGCCCTACATGGGTCCATCTAAGCAATAAGCAAGAGACCCAGCACAGGCAAGGCCAGCAGAGAAGTGGACACATGCTGGACCCTCATCGATACCTACGTGCCTGGACTCCTCAAACCCAGCAAGTCTGGGTGGCATTTACAGCCCACCCACTCCAGCCAGGGGCAAATCTGGCTATCAGGGTGCACTGGCCAGCTATGCTCATAGGGGAGGGGGGCAGGGTCTGGGGACTGGACTGAGTCTCCAGAAATTGAAATTCAAAGATATCAAGGCCCTCAAGCTCTGCAAGTTAGGAGTTTTCAGTGAACATTGGAGTAAAGACAGTGACACATTAAGAGGGTTTTGAATTTGGACAAACCATGAAGTCAGCAACCCAGGACAACTTGCTGTTCGAGAGCCCAGAGCCCATACCTTTGTCTTGAGTGGCAACGTGGTGGTCACTCACCATTGCGTTCATTAAGACCCCAGCCCACAACGATACACTTGCTCCTGGGAGAGAACTTATCATGGACATTGGACAAGATAATGGTGGACCCTGTCCCTGAGAAGTCAATAGGAAAATTCATCTTCACCAGGGCGATGTCATTAAAGACACGAGTCATAGGATGACGAATAACCTGTGGGTTGCAACCAACAGAGAAGATTAGAGTAATGAATCCCATGTGGGACCTCAGGGGGACAAGTATCAGGGGAGGCCAGGACAGCAACAGGGCTCCGTATGCTCCCCGCAAACAGTCTTCCCAATTCCAGGCCCCCAACCTTCAGGGGTTATGCACTAGAACCTGACATACCTTGGCAACCTCTATTCGATGCATGATATTCTTATTTGAATGCGGGTTATACATCCCCACAACAACCCAGTCAGATGTCCTAGAAGGAGGAGGTGTGTGAGACTCAGAAGGAGGCCCCTGCCCCCTGCCCCCAGGACCCTTCCTCACGTGACATTGCAGGTGGCACTGGTGAGCACCCATCTCCTGTGGATCAGGGAGCCCCCGCAGATCAAGGCGCCACTGGGACTCTGTAGGAAGAAGGCAGGGTCACACTGGCAGGCCCCCAGTCCCCGAGTCTGCAGAGCAGCCCCCTACAAGGGCTTTCTGCCAGAGAAACCACTCGGGAGCAGATTCCCCTCACCTGCAGCATCGCATGCCAGGGCAAGGTGCCAGGAAGAGCTTGCACGCCATTGATGATCCTGGGTGTAATGCTCATCTCCGGGTCACTAGCATGGGCCCCAGATCCTGGAGAAAAAGGGACGGGGAGAGGATTAGGTCCAGTCAGTGTAAAGAAACCTGCTTGTACCCTCAGCCAGCATAGCACCACCCAAACTCCCCTCCTGGCACCAAGCACCTAGACTGGAAGACACACCCCTGCCTGCTGGCCTGTCACCCCCCAGGGATGCAGAGGGACAGGCGGCTCCATCCGGGTCCCCCTGCCCAGAGGACCAGACTCTGAGGAATCAGGCTCCTTGCCCTGTCGGAGACCAGCTCCAACTTTTGAGGTGTCTGGAGGCAGGACAGGCAGGACCCTAAGATGGGAAGGCATCGGCATGCAGAAATTCCAAGAAGGGGAGAGGGAGTGAAGAAGACACGGGAGTCGGAGTTGGGTGCAAATCTTCCTGCTCATCTTTTTGCAGGTCTTTATTTATACTGTTTAGCAAGATTTAGTTACAATAATGCCTTAGGTAAGTTAATAAGAAACCGACATAAAAGTTTCAAAGGAAGAGGGGAACAATGCATCTTTTTCCTTCTACTTTATGGCACACTATACTATACATCTTTGTGATAACTTTCATGTATACGGATGTTTAACTGTGACTTTAAAGGATCAGGGTCTGGGAAAGGATGAGCTGTTAGCAAAGGATTTAAGAGTCCTAGGGAAGGAATAAATTGTGTTAGCATAGTCGTCAGTGATAGCCTAAAGAGAAGCTAATGGCTAATTTAAGGTTAGCAAGGAGTAGCTAGTGTTTGTTTAGGAAGAGGTTAAATAAGATTAGCAGAGAGTAGTTAGTGATAGTTTTAGGAAAAGAGTAAATTAAGAAGTTACATAGTTGTGCATTAAGCAAAACCTGTGTTTATAATGTTGGGAAATTGTCCACGGGTCCTTATGCCCTGAGAGTTATCTTAAGAACCGCTTTTTGTCAAAAGACCAAAGAAGTTTTCCAGGAGTCTTGATGCTCTGGGGTCTTATCTCTCCAGGAGCTTGCCTTTTGTCTTCAGTCAAAGGAATTTCCTGCCCAGGAGCAGCTCAGCTTGTACTTTGCCCAGGCCAGGTAGCCAATTTAGAGCTAAGGCAAGCCAGTTACAAACTGATGTTGCTACAATATTTTTTGATATTACGATTATACAAAAAAGGGAGGTCAAAACATAAGTTAGCAGTGGAAATTCTGATATTTCAGAGCTTTTCCCGAGCTATCCGGAATCTGTCAGACGATAGCCGTTGCATAGCTTGTGTCATTGCCCCACTCCCTGCTGGGTGACCTAGGCCCACTGATTCTATCAGGCTAATCCTCTCATAGAAATGGGGAGCAGACACTGCTACCGTCAAAGGCAATGCTCCTCAGGATATTTGTGGGGCAGAGATCAGCCCACTCACACTATGCCCAACAGGATGTGACTAGAACTAATTACACTGTGGATTCTCTCTCCGGAATTATGAATTCTTAACAGTGTAAGATATAAGGTAATCAATATTTAAGAAGACATGACTAGGGCACACCACACACCCACACAGAAAAAAAAAATCATGGAAAAGAAGAAAAAAAGATGAGACTGTCCAGGAGTAGGGGGAAACATAGGGCCCTTGACATGTGCAGACACGTCTCCTGGGTCAGGACATAGTAGTACCAGAGGTGTGAGAACGCGGCCACAGGAAATAAGGGGGGCAGGTCAGCCCCTCCCACAGCCAGCAACCCCAGGTTCTCAGGGCCTTGCTCCAGGCAGCCTCTGCCCATGCTGGGGACAGGGACATGGCCCAGCCACCCCCTTTAGCTGGTGACTCCGAACATGTCCTCCTCATCTTTCTCATAAGAACAGAAAACCACCAGCAGGCCCTGTGAGAGGGGCCCCCTGCAGGCGCGTCCTATCAATGCAGGGGGCTGGTCCCTGTGCAGGGAGGGACCTGAGGTCTCACCCCAGTGGGGACAGCAGCTGTGACAGGCACAGGGAGGGGATACAGGGAGAGAGACTCCCCCACGGAGCCTATGTTCTGGGTGAGCCCTAGGGGTGAAGCCAGCACAGAGTGACAGGTGGGGACTCAGCAGGAGCTGCTGAACAGTGGAGATGACAGAGCAGGAGGGAATGCTGGTGTGGGTGTCTGAGATCCCTGCAGCAAACAGGGAAATGTTAAATTGTTTAAGTGGAAATAGGGAGTTGGCTATTGTGCTGATTTTTTTAAGTAGTTGCTCAACACAAAATAAAATTCACTTAGGGGACTTAGGGGATAACTCCCCCTTGCTATCCCTCTGTGCCACTCTTGAGTGACTTCCTGGGCTCCATCCTCTGAGGCCAGATACATCCTCACATCCACGCACACCTGTGAGGGCTCAGAAAGCCCACAGGGCCGCTCTCTCCTGCAATGTCACGGTCACTGTCATCTGGAAGACCCAGAGTTCAGAGAGGGTCTCAGAACACCCATAGTTCAGACACAGGCTCCTCCCACAGAACCCCGATTACTTCAGGGGGCCTGACGTGCGTGGAGTCAGCACCCTGTCCATTCCCAAGTCTCCCTCACCTGTCAGCCCTGACACTCACCAAAGTGGGTCCCGATGAGGGTGACGCAGGAGAGAAGCCAGAGCAAGGCCATGGTGCTCAGTCAGGATGTTGGGGCACCTGCTCTGGGCCCTTTTACATCCCCCAGAAGCCGTTGTCCCGCCCCAGCCATCTGGGCCTCCCTTACCTGAGGGTCACCCTCCCCTTGGTGAAACCATCCTGGATAGGCTCAGGCCAGATCACCTCAGCACCAGGCCAAAGGGCAGCTTCTGGCTCACTGTCACCCATCAGCCCGGCAACCCCTGGGGGAAGCTCCCAGCTGTGGGCCATGTGGGCCCTGGCGCCATCATGGGGGCGGCAAGTGCTCATCAAAGACTCATCTAAGTGACCTTCACCCTTCTGTCCTGGGCACTTAGAGTTCAGCACGCAGAACTCAAATTATACCTCAGAACAACACAGTGAATTTGACTGTTGACACGCAAAGCCCAGCCCTGCCCCAGGCCACTGGTTTTCGTGCCGAGGCGGCTGCTCACACAGAGACCTCTGGACCAGGCTTTGGCTTTGGGGCAGCAGAGGCCGCCCTGTCCACCCAGACAGACAGGTGCCCTGGGCCACAGGACAGGGGCAGACACCCTGTAGGGGCACAAGCCAGGAGGACAGGGAGACCCACCGAGCCCACCATAATCCCTGGCCTCTGGGAGGGTCCCCAGGCCTGAGCAGGATCATGGGGCGGTGATGAGCTCGGGGTCTGGATCCCCTCACATCCTGGTGCCAATGGCCTCTCCCCGCTGCAGACCCAACCAGACCACGGGAGCCTGGGGCCTTGGCTGCCCCCACAGAACCTCAAAGGGACACAGGGACCTGGGGAAGGGAGACCCAAACCAACCATGAAATCCCTTGAAATTTGAAGACAGAAGTGAGGCTCTGGGGTGAGTGGAGGGTGAAGAAAAGAGGGTGAGACCTGGAGACTCTGAGAACTAATGCAGGGACCTGGGCTCAGACGGTGGCTTGGAATGGTAACATTCACCTAAAGGGGGTGACCCTGTAACCCTAAACATCTGCAGTGTATTTAATCAGTTCACCCGACAAATGATAATGCATAAAATATAAGAAATAAATACTAAAAGAAGACAAAAACTTCCATTAAAATGTATTGGGTTTCTAATTCATAAATAAATATCTGAATCCATTTCTGGAATATTCTCCTGTAAAGAAGTATTATAACAAGTCAACGACAGGACCCCCAGACCTCTCCTGAGCAGCCCGCAGAGGAGTCCGGCTTCCCACGGGCCAGAGACCGGGCCCCAGGACCGGGCTGACCGCAGCAGGCCGGGGCCTGAGCCAGCCAGACGCGGGGGATGAGGGAGACGCATGTCAGGGTGCTCTGCGGATGGGGGACTCTATGTTGCAAAGAAGGGGCAGGAATGTTTTTATGGCCATTTCAATTATACCGCTGTGATAGCCTCAGTATAAAGCTCAACTAGAGGCACCCCAAGGGGCTCGTCAGTGCACATGAACACGGCTCTCCGGAGG